ACGTGTTCCGCAGCCATCTTGTATTTTCTCGCGCGCGTGGGATTGTGGGATCTCTCGTATGACTGGACCTAGTTTCAAGAACTCTCTTGAGTCGATCGCGATTAAATCTCGTTTCAGTCGAGATTGAAACGGTCGATGGAGGTTGCACCATGGCGAACGGGGTATAAGGCTCTAGTTTAGTAGTGTTACAGAGTATAATACGTAAATTTTAATATATTTTTTAAAAGAAACAAAACCACTGAGAAATGTTACGTGTGTTTAACAACGGGTTCGGCCGAACCTGTGCGAACCCGCTGAATATCACCACTGCTAATTACCCTTAAGTAAATTTTACGAGAAATAATTACACTTAATGTCAATTTTCGTTTATTCACTTTTATATTCTGTAGCGAATCCAGAAGTACAATACCTAAAGGAAGGGACTAACCATGAAGCGAACTCAAAAATATATGATAAATTAATAAGTATCTTTTATTAACATATGCACCACCGTTATATTGCGGATGATCCGATAAACAATATTTGCAATCATAAATGTTTTTAACAACAATGTTTTGAAATTCGGACAAATAAATTTTAATTTTCTGTGTCAATAGGACTTGTAGCTCCCTCTTGGATTCGCCACTATTTACGAGTAGCATGGAAAACGCTCTTATTAAACTGGGCAACTTCTCTTACTGTACAGTACATAGAGCCAAGAAAAGGAAAGGAATCGAAAAATATTTACTTTTCTTTTTTCTTGTTTATTTTCTTTGAAATGGAACTTAATTGGTTAAAATTAATTTAATTGTATAAACTTGAATTGCCCGAATTCAAGATAAATGTCGAACTGACCAATTTTAACGACGATCACTCATGCAAAAACAACCGCCATTTTTATTTCGCGCGTTCTCGCCGCCATTTGAAACTCCTGTCTGTAATTTTGTGGTCTATTTCTTTGTCCTTTAAAATCAGAACTATTAATTATTATTCTATTCATATCTTCTCGTATTGTAAGTCTGTTCAGAAGTATTTCAACACGATGTGTTTTGTACCCACATTGGATAAAATCACTTGAACACTGGTAATTGGTCGTAGGTTCGCGCTCCCCTACGGGCTGGCCACACGGAGGTTTCTGGGCTTTCTTCACGTTAGTAATACTTAAATAAATCCAGTTTCACATAAAATACCTCCTGAGAGCCATCCCCTGATGTGTCAAAATCAAACCAATATGCTTTTTTTTCTTTTTTTTTAACTATTTTCACATACGTGTAATGTGGAAATAACAAAATAACTGAAATACAGTGTGTAATTTTCAATTTGCACATTACTTTGTCATTAGGAGTCAAGGCAGTAACTCCCCGCCAAGTAAAAAAGTCACTGACTGACTGCATATACGGGAATCAGAATTGCCGATTTTCGGGGGTCGATTTCTCCGCCCCCAAGCACCTGAAGTAATTCTGAATATTTCGTTCGAAAGAAAATTGTTTTTTTTAGGTAGTGTGCAAAATTTCAAGATTTTCTGTAATGCGGTTGCTGAAATATAAGCAATTGAAAAGTGCAAAAATCGTCATAAAAGCTATTTTCTTCTCTTTTTCCTTCATCCGGCATTGCAGACGCTCGTAGAGAAAAAACTACTGGGTGTAGAAAGCTCAAGTTTTAACTTAAACCTTTCTCGCTATCGATGAGGTGCTGGCTAAACTTCCGGGTCGATAGGTCAAAGTTCACGGAAGTTTCTCCATAGAGCTAATTCAATTTTACGGCTTAATTTTATGCTTATAAAGATAAAATTGTATGGAAACAAATGAATTTTATTCAAAATGTTACTCGGAATTACAAAAGCACAAATTTATGCCAATTAAAATTTTTAAACGGCGCGCCGTTTAAAATTTTTATATTTGGTAGATATTTGGTAGATCGTTCATTTTGGTAGATCGTTCAAATATTTACCAAATTTTTATATTTGGTAGATATTTGGTAGATCGTTCATTTTGGTAGATCGTTCAAATATTTACCAAATTTTTATATTTGGTAAATATTTGGTAGATCGTTCATTTGGCTGGATGCTTTTTGGGACGTCCCAAAAAGCATCCAGCCAAATGAACGATCTACCAAATATTTACCAAATATAAAAATTTGGTAAATATTTGAACGATCTACCAAAATGAACGATCTACCAAATATCTACCAAATATAAAAATTTGGTAAATATTTGAACGATCTACCAAAATGAACGATCTACCAAATATCTACCAAATATAAAAATTTTAAACGGCGCGCCGTTTAAAAATTTTAATTGGCATAAATTTGTGCTTTTGTAATTCCGAGTAACATTTTGAATAAAATTCATTTGTTTCCATACAATTTTATCTTTATAAGCATAAAATTAAGCCGTAAAATTGAATTAGCTCTATGGAGAAACTTCCGTGAACTTTGACCTATCGACCCGGAAGTTTAGCCAGCACCTCATCGATAGCGAGAAAGGTTTAAGTTAAAACTTGAGCTTTCTACACCCAGTAGTTTTTTCTCTACGAGCGTCTGCAATGCCGGATGAAGGAAAAAGAGAAGAAAATAGCTTTTATGACGATTTTTGCACTTTTCAATTGCTTATATTTCAGCAACCGCATTACAGAAAATCTTGAAATTTTGCACACTACCTAAAAAAAACAATTTTCTTTCGAACGAAATATTCAGAATTACTTCAGGTGCTTGGGGGCGGAGAAATCGACCCCCGAAAATCGGCAATTCTGATTCCCGTATATGCAGTCAGTCAGTGACTTTTTTACTTGGCGGGGAGTTACTGCCTTGACTCCTAATGACAAAGTAATGTGCAAATTGAAAATTACACACTGTATTTCAGTTATTTTGTTATTTCCACATTACACGTATGTGAAAATAGTTAAAAAAAAAGAAAAAAAAGCATATNTGAAGTATTGCTGAAACACGAAAAACGTGTCTTACTTCCAAACAAAGAGAGCGATTTGGACGTGATCCCATTCGAGGTAGGCATTTAGTTCCCCAAATAACAGCTAGATAAGAGCACATTAACCACAAATAAACAGACGTCCCATGACCCCATCTTGCACCACCTTCCCCTATTCGATAACTTTTATCTAAATTGTCATAATATTTTACATCTCAGATGTTTTTGTTTGGATTTAATAATACAAGATACAAATATTATAGTTATAAGTAATTTATTTTAAAATTCTTTCTACTCTGTTGGCACTAAAAGAGCTTCTTTAGTAAACACATTTTGGATTTGGCCAGACCCACCATGAAAGACCGATATATCCAGACAGACCATTGCCGAAAAATTCTTGTACTTTGACTCGTCCAGAACTTGATTCGAGTCCCCTAGAACGTTAAGTCGCTACCTTTATTGGGTGCGTTTACTTTTAGCTCCGATCTCGCCCCTAGTGCGCTTAGCCTGTATACTTTTTGTTAGCTACCAATGAGCACGGCGTTTACTTTTCGCACCGTAACGTCATTGCTAGCATTCCTAGCGCGCTCGGCGTGCTCGGAGAATTTACGAGCTTGGAGTTTGTTCAAAGATGGCGGCGTCCATTACTGAGTACTGTATACTTTTACGAGCGTGCCAGTATGACGTCAGGCTGCGCTAGGTATCAGCTCGGCGAGCTTAGAAGCTAGCATAAAGTAAACGCACCCATTGTTCGGCCATTCGGCCGTCTTAAGTAATTTATTATTAAAAGTGGTAAGCTATCTGTCATGTTCAGTTTGTATTTTTTATTTATATAAAAACCTTTATATGAATTCTAAATTTTATGTTTATTAAATTTAGCTAAAGATTAACGGGAGAAGAACACATTTCCGTTCAAAATGCATACTGCGAGTTACTACAGTCAAACTTCCGAACAACGGCCACTGATGGAAAAATGGCTCCGTTGTTGGGAAGGTACCATTTTTCGGAAGTCCAAATCTTCATATGTTTTATGTATAATGGTTTTTGTGAAATATTATGCTCTTAAATATTTGCTAATATTAATTGCATTTCAGAATAAAGTTTATTATTTATTCATTATTACGTAGGAATTATTGGGCGTTGCTAGCTTTTGTAGAAATTAAATACTTCTAGCAAAGATATAAAAAATTGCAAAAAAGAAACAAGTATAAAAGCAATAACAGCAATCCAATTACTATGTACAGTACGTAAGTTAATTTTCAATGTGAGACGATTTAATTTCTAATGTTTTGATAAAAGTAAAATGTCTGATCTCGTTCATAATCACTCTGCTAAAATGTCTGATCTCGTCCATAATCACTCCGTCCATTGTGGAACTGACCGAACCAAATGGGCTTCAAAAAGGCCCTCTTAGTTCCTACAGGGAAGAAAGAGTTTAAAAAGCAACAAAGACATATATATGAAAGTAAATAAGCTTAGTAGTGTAGTGTGTGTAAGCAGGGCCCGCC